ACATCTCCACATTCATCAGCACGCGAGAGAGCCACGGTGACATATTTATCTGGGCACTGATCCGCAGGACGATCTGAAGCCTCAGGACAGGACGTACATAGGAGCGCAGCTGAGGGACGGAAACTTGGGCGTGAGTTTCCAGTTTGGCAACATCACTGACGGCTGTACGTCGACGGCGCGAGGCTCAACGACGAAAACAAACACCTCATTCAAGTGACAAGAAACGTTACTCTCCTAGAAGTGAAGATCAACGGCACCGAGCACTTCCGCAAGACGATCAGCGCCACGGGAGACTTGAACGTAATCGTTATCTACCTGGGCGTACTACCGCAAGTGTCTAGATACATTCGCCAGGCCGTCAGTAGCAGGCAATTAGAGAAGGAACAGGCGCCGCAAATTAACTTCAAGGGCATCTAGGATGTGAAGATATCGAACGACACGACAATAATCGTCTTTGAGTTTTTTCCGCCGAAGGTGACTGAAAAAATATCTTAATTTTTAATGTTATCTTTATTAAAACATATGTCAAGTAAGAATTTATTTGATTTTTAGATTTTTGTAAGGAATTTTTTTCAAAGTCTTTTATAGTTAAATTCTACAACGCTTGAAACAATTCTATCTTTTGAAAATGTTTCTCAAACATTGATTCTTGCAATTTTTGAATTATTCTTCTGATTTTTTTTAATATTTCAAAATGTAACAGTTCTTAACTTTTATCTTGATCAACATTTTTTCCTCAAATATTAATTTAATTCATAAAATCTTTCTTTTGAATAAGAATGCAAAAATTGTCAATAATTATTGCTTCAGCCTTTGCATCAGCATGTTTCATCAACGTACTTTAATTCAATACATTTTTGTGTTTTTCATTTTTCTAGACGTCGGACATTCCCATGCTCATTCAGTTCGGCAACGTCACCTTTGACCACGAGAAGATTCTTGAGGGCGTCGTGTAGGATGACGTGTGCGTCAGTAGTCAGTGTAATCACAACGGCATGTGTCACTTATCATGGAACGACTTCTGGTGTCAGTGTCCGCGTGGCTACAGCGGCATAACTTGTCAGGCAATGGAGTTCTGCCAGCTGCAGGATTGTCCGGCAGGCTTGCGCTGCCAGAACCTCGACGACGGTTACGAGTGCATCGCCAACGCGACCTTCGACGGTGTTTCTACCGCCTTCACGTACGTGTACGGTCACACCGAGGACGTCATGAGCATCAGCAATTCAACCCTCCACTTCATCGAGATCACGTACAGATCCAACACCGACGGTACGCTGCTTCACGTGGCATCGCACGTAGGCGATCAACATTTCACCGTGTCCGTCTTCAAAGACAATGTCACCGTGTCTTGGCAGCTCGATTTGGAAAACCAGGGCACTGTATCCTTCGACAAAGCTCAGCCCGACGGCATTTGGACTTTGCTGCTCATCAAGCTGAACAACTCTTTGGAGTGCGGCTACGTGAATCCGGTCGAAGAGCAGCCTCGCTCGAGCGCCAACTTCAACTACTAGCTGTGGCACGATCTCCTGGTAACAGGAATAGTCACTCTCGGTGGACTTTCCAGTGCTTTATTCGACAAGCACACTTACGT